CGTGTTGTATCTACGGCGGCTCAACGGAAGCGGGATAAGTATGGGGCGCGTTGCAGGGCTATTGGCTATGGTTTTCTTCCTTTCTCCTTTTTTCGTTGGGGGAATTAGAGAAGGATGCTATTGCGTTGGTGAAGCGGGGTTCAGGAGTTCGCTAAGACTTGGGATATTGGTGCTCGCGCAACTGCTCACATCTTCAGCAGGATCAGGTTCTCTATAGCTAGATGGGTGGGGCCAAGATTGTATCTCTGCTCCCGTTCAATTTCTTGAAAATTGATTGACTTTAATTTGTAGGTTTTTTGATATTTTATAATAATAATAATAATAATAATAATAATAATAGTAATAATAATAATAATAATAATAATAATAATAATAATAATAATAACAACTGTATTTTATAGTTTCAATCGCTACTTTTACCGAACACTTATAGTATGAACCGTGATATGTCCATTTTATATAGTATTTTACCCCCGTCCCTTGGTCATAATTAGTAGTATTTTTGGCTCTTTAGAGCCACTTTTATTACTAATTCGTGTTTACTAGTGTTTTCGTAGATTTGGTTGACTTTTGTAGGGATTTGCGCTTTTGGAGCATTTTCCCAGGATTTTATGGAGCAACTACGAGCATTGGAGATGCACGACCATCCTTCATAGCCCAGGGCCGGTTAGAGCCATCGAAACGGAGATTAAGGGCTCGATATAAGTGATATCGGGGCATTTGGACCGAGTATTCAAGACCCGAAGAGGAAATCCTGATTGGCCCGAAGAATTGGAGCCCAATCGAAGTCCAAGGAATAGCCCAAGAGTGCTGCCCGGCCAAAGGAGTTTCCGCTCGAAGGCGCGCCCGGCCGGGCGGGGAAGAGAAGCTGGCGCACGAACTCGCGCCCGAGATGTACTTGGGAGTAAAAGGCGGGCCCGATCGGGCAGGGCACCGCCCGATCAGGCACGTGTCAGCATTAGTAGATTTTTAATCGTCGTTTAAGTTTGTTTTAGTTGAGGATTCTTGCTTAATATAAATACTTTTCCGTTAAGCAAGTTTAGTATTTCTTTTTACTCTTTCTTACTTCTTCTCTTAGACTTTCTCTCTCTACTTAGTTTTTAGATTATTTTCTCTCTCTACAACTTTGTTCTTAACTCAACTCCTTAATTCAGATTATTTTGGTAACAATTTCTTCTACTTTAATCTCATTTATTTTACTTTAATTCTTTCATCATATCTTCTTTTATTGCTCTGATTAGTTTAGATTTAATTATGTGTGAGTAATTTTCTTTCTAGTGTTTGTGGGCATCCATAAATAATATGAAGGGGTAATCTATTGTTGTTAATTATCAATGCTAGATTAGTTTCCTATTGATTGATTCAATGCTCTGTGACTAGATTAGGTCTGATATTTTATGCATGAGTTTGACAATATTGATTCGAGATTCGAGAGATGAGAATTGATGTTTAGGTCTAGTTTCAATATGAAGGTTAATTTATAAATGGTTGAGTCGAGATTTGGGAGATGAGATTTAATACCGTTAAATTAATTCTGTGATTGTAATACGTAGCGAAAGCCCTTTATGATCTGATTAATTTATGCATTGATGTTTGATTATTATGTTTTACCCTGGAATATTGTTTATTGGTGACCTATGCCCTAGGTCTTTTATTCATTAATTTCCTCTATTTTTATTCTTCTCTACTTTTACTCTTATAGTTTAGTTATCCTTTGATTATAATATATTGGTTACTTTATAATTTAGATTGCTTTAATTAATTAGGAATAGAAAGACCAGTTTCCCTGTGGATTTGACCCTACTTCCCTATCTGCATTAGTTAGAGGATTTAGGAATTACTTTTGATTGGGTGATACGACTTTAGCTTGTCAAACCGCTACCTTGACAGGTGACCTCTAACAACTACTACTTGACAGCTCACAACTACTCAAAAGCTTTGCCGAACAGACCCATTATTAAGTTTTTAGATGCAACATTTTACATATTATTACTTCGTTTGACCAAAGCACACAAATAATTCATTTGATGAAAAACACGCTAAAAATATTATACTAAGTATTATTGAAACATGCACAAAAATTAAGAGTTCTGAACTAACAATGGCCGCTTAAAATATAAAGGGATGCAAAACTATTAAATATTATTTAATAATAATTTTGAAATAACACTATCAAACTTTTGAGGTTTTAAAAAATAATTGTATTACAAGATTTTGGTGGCTTTCTTATATACTTCTACAAATTCACCACATAGGCACATAAACCAAATAGTACGTATTAAAATTACCAGGTCTACCACCCTAACCTAAGGTGCAAATACACGCCAATACAACTTCTCTGCAAGAACTAACCCCTCTGCGCGCATTGCGCGTGTAGGACACCCTAGTATAAGAAAATTGTTAGATAGCAAAGATGGTATATATGACTTCTTATTCATTTTCCAATTGATCCAAGTTGAATAGGAACGCATTTTGATATATAGTATTGACTCCAATCATTATTAATACATTTTTAATAATCAATAAAGAAGAATTAAAAAAAATCTTAGTACAAGTAGTATTTAAAAAAATTGAGACAAATATAACAAGATCGATGTCACACGTCAATAATTTAATTATTACTGTCTTATTCTTATATTCCTTTCTTTTGAATAAACTATTAACTCTTCATATCCACTGTTTTTTAACACAAATGTTTAATAACTCAATCCCTAAAGAAGAGAAAAAAAAATATATACCTCAACCTCATTTACATTTTATTCTGTATTATATTAAAGTCAATTAAAAAAAACAACTACTTAAAACTATGTATCGGTCAAGTGGAACACTTTAGAAATGTTGGGGATGGAGCGACACATAAACACAATATCGGAAAGAATAATAAAATACAAAACAATAAAAATAACACACAAAATTTTTACGAGGAAAACCCCTCTTCAACAATAAGGGGAAAAACCACGGTCCTGATATTTAGGGACAAAAACAACTTCACTAGCAATACTTTCGGGAGTACAATAACCACCATTAAAGTTACAATATTTGTTAACAATTTAAAAACTGAATTGCTAAACATCGCCCGCGAATCTCCACATAAAGCCCACAAAATTAGAGTGAATTGTCACTTTTGCCCTCAAAGTAAAAAACACAATTTCTTCTCTCAATTCTCTACTTCCACTTTCTCTCTCTAAAAAACTTTCCGAGCGATGTCGAGGCGGCCCGGCAAGGAAGTGGCGGCACAGGCGGCGGGTGGACAGCGGTTTTCCGGCGAGAAGGTATTTTTTATTAATTTTGTGTTTAAAAATTAAAAAAAAAAGGTCGGAGGCGGTGGCGGCGCCTAGGCCAGACGCCACCACCACGGCGGCGGCGTCTAGCCCAGACGCCACTACCACGGCGGCGGCGCCTAGGCCAGACGCCGTGACGGTGGCGGTGGCGTCTGGCCCAGGCGCCAGAACCACGGCACCGGCGTCTGGCCTAGGCGCCGCCGCCGTGGTAGTGGCGTCTGGGCTAGACGCCGCCGCCACCGTCACGGCGTCTGGCCTAGGCGCCGCCGCCTTTTTATTTTTTTTTTTAATTTTTTTTTGGTTTTAAATTTGAAATTTAATTTTCGAAAATAATTATTTTTTTTTTGATTTTTTTTTAAATTTGTTTTTCTTTTTTTTAATTTTAAATTTTATGTTTCTGATTTTTTTTTTATTTTGTTTTAAATTTTGTTGGTTTTTTTTAAAAAAATTTTATGTTCCTCTTTTTTTTTTTTTAATTTTTAATTTTATGTTCTTGTTTATTGTTCTTGTTTTTTTTTTTTTTGAATTAGTTTTTTTACTTAAAAAAAATTTAATGTTCCCTTTTTTTTTTATAAATTTTTTTTAAAATTTTGATGTTCTTCTTTTTTTAAGTTTTTATAATTTTATATTTTTCACTTTGTTTTTTCCAATTTGTTTTTTTTGGGTAATTTTTTTTTTTGCTTTGTTTTTTCCAATTTTTTATTTATTTATTTATTAGGTTATTAATTTTTTTATTTTTAGGTTGTTAATATTTTGTAATGTTTTTAATTTATTTTCCATCATATGTATATTGTTTTATTTATTTATTTTAATTACTTTTTTTATGTTTATATTACATGTTTATATTGCATATTACATGTTTTGTTATTTTGTGTTAGGCATCGTATTTTCGTTCTGGGGCTGGGAAGAGTATGGACATTATGAGAAGTACGATGAACTCAATGGAGAGCTCGGGGCCCAGACACGTTAGATCCCGTGGTATTTCGGCCTCGGCTCGTAGAGAACGGGTGCACTATTCTGAGGATGATGAAGATGATGATGGTGATGAGGAGGAGGAGGAGGAGGATGCAGATGAGGATGTGGACGATCAGAGTGGACCATATGATGATTACGGTCCATTCAGTCAGAGGCTTGATGATGTGTATGAGACGCGTAGGGTAGACGTGCGTAAGGGTAGAGATGGTAGATTTGTTAGTAGATCTGGCACATCATCTGCGTCCACTGTGTCTGCGGTTAGCAGAAAACGGTCGAGGGCCGTTAATGATTCTTGGGTGGTGAGGGGCGAGGTGGCTGGGGGACCTATAGACGGGAGTGTGATTCCTAGCTTTCTAGGACACATCGCTACCCGTATTTGGGAGGACCAAGAGCGGGCTTTGGATAGCGGCATTTTGAAATGCCAAACCCGGGAGAGGACTTGTAACTTCTTGTGTAGTTGGGCTGAGGCTTGGCCGGAGGAGAGCGAGATGGTCGGCCGATTGAGGGCCACTAGAGTGAGCCACCTTCCTGCCACCATGCATGAGAGGATTGACTCGACGCTGATCACGGCTTTCGTTGAGCGATGGCAGCCGGACACGAACTCTTTCCACCTTCCGTTCGGTGAGATGACGATCATGTTGCATAACGTCGAGGCCATCCTTGGGATTCCCGTAGAGGGAAACCGAGCATCTGTTGTCACAGATGCGGATCAGGCAGATTTATTGGCGGAGCTGTTGGCGGTGGATAGGGCTGCGCTGTACACCGCGGCACTTGGTGTGTGGGATCACGGCGGTGTTAAGATCGCAGCAGTTTTGCAGCGATGTTTGCACCCCACTTCACGTAGGACGCAGGACACACAGCTGGCTGCATATGTTTTTCTTCTTCTCGGGTGTACCTTGTTTCCGGATAAGAGCGGAAACAAGCTCAGGCCACGCGACATAGTTGACGCGTGTGAGCCCGACAGAGTAGGCCAGTTTTCTTGGGGGTCGGCTACATTAGCGTACATGTATCGCCAGTTAGGATTCTCGAGCCGGGCTGATGCGGCAGGTATCACTGGATGTATGACGTTGTTACAGACGTGGATATACGAGTATTTCCCGGCGTTTCGACCACACCGCGACCCGGTTCCTATTGGGGATGGCCAGCCACGTGCCTGTGCGTGGAGTCCGCGTGTCGAGAAGAAGTCCATTGACCGCCTGCGATCGATACGGTTATTGCTTGACAGGATGTCCCCATTAGAGGTAAAGTGTTTAAATTATTTCTACTTTTATAGTTTGATGTGTTTATTGTATGAATCTTACTAATTTTAAAAAATGTGCAGGTGAACTGGATGCCTTTCGGCCAGAACCCTAGTAATAGGGTACCCAGGACCCTCTACACGGGACTGATTCAGTATCGTGAGATCGTAGAGGCGTACATGCCGCAGCGCTGTCTTCGCCAGCTTGGATATGTCCAAGTTGTTCCTCCTCCACCAGCATGGCCCAGTAAGGCCGTCCGATCTGCGTCGTTGAAGGAGTACGTCGTCCAATGGCCGGCAAGCATGATTGGCACGTGGGAGCAGTTTCCGATGGTTGCCCGCATATGGATTGAGCAGTTGCAGCGGCCGCCAACTGGGGTGGCTGCCATGTGTGACCAGCACTACATGGAGTGGTACAACCGGCACTCGCACCCGAGGTTGATCAGAGACGTCCACCACGGCGACGACGCCGATGATGATGATGTGCCACCGCCCACTGCCGTGGATGCGGTACGTCTCATAAAACATTTGTAGTTGTGTTTTTTTTCATATAATACGTCTCATAATACGTCGTTATTGAATTTTATGTGTTTTGTTATGTGTAGTGGATGGGAAAGATGACGCAGTTGGGACACAGACTTTTTGAGGAGAGGGACAACATGACGACTGCAACAGGCAGAGCTGTTATTGATGAACTGGAACGGGCCCTTGAGCAGTGGCAGTGGGCGTCACAGAGAGATTATTGATATGTCGGCAGTGCATTTATAAAACATTTTCCTAGTTGTTTGTAAAAGTTAACATTATCTGTTCTTATAATTATTATTTTAAGTTCTTAGAATTTGACATTATATTTTTAGTTTTTATAACTTTTATTTTAAGTTGTAATTAGTGGGCATACGAAAACTAAATACAGGTTCACATTTAAATGGGAAAACTAAATACGAAAATTAGAATCCGAAAATTAAATAAATGGGAAAAACATAGCAATAGCAATATTAGGTCACATAGAAAAGGCAACTAGATTGTTCCACTGCTGCACCCGGTCATGATATAACGCATCCCAGCCCTCTACGCTTGCTGTACGAATGGTGTACCACGTTGGTATAATCGGTGGGACCGGAAAATCGGGTGACAGGTCCAGTCGGATGAAATGTCCGTATGACGGCCCCAGAAATCCAATAGCAACCTCTCTTACCGGTCTGGTGACGGTCTCACGCGAACACCAAGGCAGAACCGTGGTACACGGATAGTAAGCTCGACCATGCAAACCAAGGCCGAAATGCATCACTGCACACTTGTAGATGTTTGCAACGGCGAAGAGATCAAGGGGCGCGTCGAACCAATGATTTTGACCGCAACGTCCTCCTCCCCACCGGATACGCTGCAGAGACCTATCCAAGTCCTGTCCGTACACGTGGCGATAAACAGCTCGGTTTGAGGCGATTTCACTGTACATCAACTGACGCACTAAACCGTAGTTGTCTTCACCCATCTGAAACACATCAGCCACAACCCGAAATCCACAGTTACCATCTGCAACCACATCATTCCACCCGTCCAGGAACGGCATCATGATGTTAGGGATCCTGTCTTTATATGGAAAATGTTCAATGTCCATTCTGCCTGTTGCACACATCAAAAAACACAATTAACAAGTTAGCAGAAAACTAAACAAACACTCTAAAAAGTAAATTAAACTAAAGTACCGTACCGGTGCCGGGCATATTCACCGACGAAGAAGTTTGACTACCACTTGATGACGATGTACGACCACGGCCACGACCACGACCACGACCACGAATGTACTCAAACGCACTCCTTTCCCGCCGTGGTTGTCGGCCCCGTGGTCGCTCGACCCCCTCAGGTTCCTCATGATCCAAGCACGACGAGTTGAACATGTCATGAAGTACGTGGGTAGCACTACGAATGACTGAAGGGTGGCTGGAGGACACTTGGTCAAACATCGAACGAAACTGCTCCAACTCCTCCTGTTCACGGTTGACTGTCGGTGGAACAGCATGCTCTCCGATAACGAGCGTCCGCCAGAATGGATGAACCTGATCAACATGGAACGACGCCCTATCTTGCGTAATTACGCGGTGAATGGTGCATGCACAAGGTAGTCCATGAGTCACCGATATAGCACATCCGCACCGAATAGCCACTTCATCACCCAACTCCCTCATCCTGGTGTGCTCGCTCAGAATCAACCCCAAGCAGTAGTGTGACACACGACCATGGAGAATCTTAAATATGAAATGGCTATACATCGTGCCATGTCGCCGTCTGGAGTCCTCGAGAGAGTTCTTGATGCCGTTCCTCTGAGTATCAATAGCCTTGTTTATTCTCTCGAACAGTGTATCCAGAGCAGAGGTGGAAGAATCAATCCAGTCCTTCAGAGCTCTATGAGCGCTCTCAACTCTACATGTAGTAGTGTTTCCAAAATGAAGAACTTGGTTTGTCCAATATTTGACAAACTTTTCCCTCTGAGGCACCCACTGCTGCATCACATAGTCTACGATTGCCGGGCACCATTGGTATGCATCCTTGAAGTTATCCAAGGCTCGGTCGTACTCTGCCTCCGTGGTAGCTTGCAGGATCTTCCGCCACTTACCATTTACCAATCTCTCTGCTGAATCTAAGTTCTTGTTGAAAAGGTTGTAGGCTTTGACTTTCACGCATTTGTTGATGTGCCATGTGCACAGTAAATGGCTCGACTCCGGAAACAGCTCCGCTATAGGGGCAAAGAGACCTCCCTCACAATCGCTGACGATGGCCGATGGCTGAACACTTGGGCCGATGTAATTTCTCAACTTCTCCAACACCCAACGGTAACTCGCAACCGTCTCATCCTTCATAACTGCATAACCAATCAAAAAGTTCTGGTTCGTTGGAGTCATCCCAACCATCTCAACCAGTGGAAACTTATACTTGTTTGTCTTGTACGTTGAATCGATCAGAATCACAGATGGCCAAGACGAAATCATATCAGCACAATCAGGATGCACAAGGAACAAATGAGTCACCTCCGATGTGTCTTCATCAGATTCAAACCAGTACAGGTAACCACGTGCTTGTGCCTGGTGTAGAAGCTGCTGTATAGGGTTCCTTCCCTCTGACCGTTCAAACCTCAATTTATGTCTGACGTTGTAGATGTGTCTTCGGTTTGGCTGGTCTTCAGGAAATTTCTCCAACACAGATGCTAATATTTTAGCAGGCTTCACTTGAGCATCACTCATTTCTTTTACAATTAGTTTCGCAGCAGGACTTAGGCCACTTAACTGTCGATGACCCACTTCATATGCGATCATCTCATGGTTGTGATACCCCCATTTACCGTAACTCTTCACTTCCCAACCGTCACCCCTTTGCTGTTGTCGAACCTTTACTCTGAACTGACACCCACAACCTTTCCGCTTTGTATCAAACCGAATCGCTTGACTGAAATCTCGTTCCTCCCTTTTGCGATAACGGTCGCATCTCAAAATGCGATCCATTCTACCATCCCGTTGAGATTTATGAGTTGCTACTACTAAACAAAAACCTGATCTAATTGCAACCTGTTTCGCCCAATCAACCGCTTGTTGAGCATCTTCGAACAGACCATCGTGTACAAAAATCCCACTATAATCATTTCCGTCTCCACCATAATCCTGCAACAATAACATATAAATATAATCACATAAGAGTAGATTAACTTAATACATTTGACACAACATTAGCACAAAAGCAAAAACAATAATAAATTATAAACAACAAACAAAGAAATAAACAAAAAGTATTCAAAAAAAAAAAAAACAAAACACAAAAATAAAAAACATAAACAAAACTTTAGATTAAATAAATAAAAATAAACCAAAAAAATAAAAACAAAAAAAAAACATAAAACGAAAAAAATTGTAAAAAAAAAAATAAAAAATAAATAAATTAAAAACAAAAACAAATTAAAACAATTAAAAACAAAACAAAAAAAAACCAAAAAAAAAAGAAAAAAATTGTAACACAAAAAAAAAAAAATAAACAAATTTTAAATTAAATTTAAAAAAAAAAAAAAAAAAAAATAGTGGTGGCGCCTAGCCAGGAAGCCGCCACCGTGGCGGTGGCGTCTAGCCAGGACGCCGCCACCGTGGCGGTGGCGCCTGGCCAGGACGCCGCCACCGTGGCGGCGGCGTCTTGGCCAGACGCCACGGCCACGGTGGCGGCGTCCTGGCCAGGCGCCAGAGCCACGGTGGCGGCGTCCTGGCTAGGCGCCACCACTACGGTCACGGCGTCCCGGCAGGACGCCAGCCGCCAATTCGTGGTTTTAGATGGCTTCGTACCTCCTTTTCCGGCGTCAACGGCGTCTCTCCGGTGCATCTACCCGACGTTGAGGGCTCTTCGGTTTCACTCGGCGATCCAGTCCTGCTCCACATTTTTTATGAGTGAAAAATTTTATTTTCGGTAAAAATTAAAACAAGGGCAATAATGTCAACATTTTTAAAAAATGTGGGCTTTATGTAGAAAAACGCGGGCGATGTTTAACAAATCCCTTTAAAAATAGCCTACACTAAGTACCCTTAACATTGGTACTAATTATACCACTCCTAAAATACCCCTCACACTATGATATTGTGTTTGCCTAGCTCTCCATAAGTTACTCCTTCATTACATACTACAGCTATTGTGCTCTCATTCACATTAAGATCGATGCACTCACCGCTTATATATTATCTCAATTGCTAGCTACTACATCTTGCTAGCTCTCTTTTACACGGTGGTGTGTCTTCTCACACACACACTTCTCACGACTAAATGCTTTTTTATATAGCGCGGCAAAAGCCAAAAACTTCCCTAGAAAGCCTCAAGCAATTTCCACCTACTTGGGAATAAATGCTAGAAAGCAAGGTCAAGGTTTTCAATAAAACCTTCTGCCAATCGTTCCCAACCAACTTGGACTAAGGGTTAGCCTGTTCACTTCAGCTTAATTTCAATTCACTTCATTTCAGTTCAGCTCCAATCAGTTTAGTTCATTTCAACTCCTAATTTCCCTCTCTCATAAAATATTCAGTTCAGTTTAGCTCCAATCAGTTTAGTTTAGCTCCTAATTCCCTTTTCTCATAAAACATTCATTTTATTTCAGTTCAGTTCAGTAAATGTGAATAGGCCCTAAGAACTCCACAATCGTCCACTTCAATTCACTACATGCATTCATTCTTTTTCATTTTCTTTTTCTTTCTTACAACATTAATATTATTACTACAATAATATTCCCTCCCTTTAATTAGATTCCACTATTTCTTTTTTAGCAAATCAAAATTAAAGTCTCTTTGTTAGAATCTTTCCCGTTTGAGTAAGTAATTTTTTACAATTTTAACATCATTCTCCTAATTAAATCCCCAAATTATCCTCAATTTTTACTGATTTTTTGTGCCAAATATTTTTAATCTTCAATTTTTACTGATTTTTTGCGCCAAATATTTATGAGAACACTATATATTCTCTTTTTTCTTTTTCTCTCCCTTGTTATTTAATGTACTTCCCACAAAAAATGAAAAATGGGACTCTACTAAAAGAACGGAGTGAGTAATAATATTACATACGGCGTACTTCATTGTCATTTGGGGAGAATAACCCAACATGAAATACCTTGGAAGATTGACCTATCTTGTGGGCACTCACATCCAGATAATTCTACATAATTGATGATGAAGTTTATAATTAAATAAAAGAGATTGTTACAAATGTTTTTTTAGGTATCAACTTTGTGAGAAAGGTCCTTACATATGTATATATGTATGACTTCTAAATAAAACAATCTTTCTATGTGTATGTATTGCTGTTGTATGTGTATGCACGTTATTTCTAAATAAAATATAATCTATTAATGTTAAGTTATGTGCTATTTTCATTATTCTCCTACTCGTTGCCTTTGTGATCGTGGGTGAATCAAACACCATGGAGTTTAAGGTTGCGGAAGAAATTATTGAAGGCGGTGTTAGTGGCCGCGACATGGTTGATGGTGGTGGCTCTCGTTTACGAGATGGTGTTTGCAAAATAAAATGCAAGCTCGAAGGTGAAGCTTGTAGCCCATTTAGAAGTGACGGAAGCAGCTATTCAGATCTCACCTGTACTTATTAATATATATGCATGTTCGTTGCATGCAAATCCTTTATCTATCCCACTATATATTTATATATATGCATGTTGCATGTATTATTGATCTAAAGCCAATAGGCCGGTGTTCTCGTCCTTGATCCGCCGAATGTCATCCCAGGCTAACTGGATCTCGTGTCTCTGCTGCAGACGCCAATCTTAAAAGGCAAAGAGCCTAAGGAGAAGCTGGGGATGAATGAAGGCAAGTCGGTAGAAGAAAGAATAAAAAAAATAAACTAAGTGCCGAAGTTTGAAATAAACTTAGATACCTCAACGCAACTATTGATCATGGGTCTGAGGTGCCCATCATGGATGTCTCAAAATTTGTCTTACCTCTCGGCTACGACGGCCCTCAGCATGGCCTCCCAGACAGCCTTACGTTTGGCCCATGTCAGCGAAGAGATAGGGAGTCGAACGTCCATCTCCTTGGCAATATCTGCGGAAACATACAAAGTTAGAGAATTCGAAGTAAAAGTTAACTTTCAAAATCTCGAGAAAGAACTGGACGAGTACCTTACGAGAAAGTGGAGGGTGCTTTTAAATGCCCTCCTAGAGTAGAAGTAGGCATAGGCTGCTGCTCGTCCGCCCTAGGCATAGACATTTTCCCTTCGTCAGCCTAGGAACCCGTTGGTCGAGTCCTAATTACTCGACATGCAAAGTTGAGTCATTGCCGGCCGTTTGGTTCAGGGGCAACTTTCCCTCTTCGACCTTACGAACGGTCTCTTCTCAGGCTACTTCAGTCGGTTGTGGCTCCGAGGGCTTCAAGGTCCTACTAGGTGTCAGCTGGGGTTCTCTTCCTATAGATTGCTCCTTGGCAACCCGCGACCTTGCCTTGGCCGCCTGCGCCCCTGAGGGGGTCTTGGACGTAGATATTTTGCTAGACTTGGACGACCACTCATCCTTTGAAGCGAACGCCAACCGCTTCCTTACAGGCTTCGGGGTAGCTGACTAAAAATTAAAACCAAGGAAAGATATATGGATCAAAATCGTTAGCCGAATGGAAAAACAAAGTATAACTATTCCAAGCATATCATCTCAACAAGCTTTAGTCTATGCTCCCTATCTAAGTAAAAGTGGGAGGAATGACCTTCCCAAGCATAACTACTCGGCCTGGATGGAAATGGCCATAACGTCTGAGACATGGCTCATTCTATCAAAAAGCGAGAA